TGCCCTGGCATTGGCGGTTGTCTGTGGATGGAATATGAACAACAAGTACAAACCCGTCGAGGGCTGTAGTGGACAAGGAAGCACCTAACATGTTCTTTTGACGACTCTCTTCGCGTCGTATATCAGAGAAAACCTTACGAATTGTTGGAAGAGGTTTTGAATTCAAAATTCGTGAGCGAGTCTGGTCAAACTCAGATTTGAGGCCGAGAAGAAATTTGAATTTGCGTTTCTGTTCTATGATTCTGCGAAATATGACAGAGTTTTCGGGACACTTCCAAGGGTACTCCTCGAATAGATCTAGTTGCTGCCAATACCGAGTAAGAGTATTGAAGTATTGGGTGACGGAGAGGTCAACTTGACGAAAGTTTTGTAGAATGGTCTCAACAGCAAATAGTTCGCTTGTATTGTCCGCACTAGAATAGGTCTCTCGGGCAGCATCCCAGATTTTCTTAGTCGTGCCATGGAGAAGAAAATTTTCGTCAATATCAAGTGTCATCAAGTTAACAAGCCAGACCATAACCATATTATTCTCGGATTTCCAAGTCTTTTATGACGGAGCTGTCGTCATCGGAGCTGGAGCATCACCAGTGAGGTAGTCATCTTTGTCTTTGCCGCATACAAACATCATGACTGACTGCGACCACTGGAGGTAATTCTGGCCGGTGAGTTTGTGGTTGGTGATGATGACAGAATTATTGTCTGAATTGTTGGGCAATGGAGACCCAGCCGCAGAGGGGTGGCTAGAAGTGACATCACTAGTGGAGGAGTTGGAGGCATGGCCGTACTTAATCATTGGAGAGTAGAGGATGCCAGTAGAATGATCAGAGATGAGGTTGCGCCGACGAGGAGCACGACTGGAACGGGCTGTGCTCGATCGCGGAAGAAGAGTCGGCGCTCAGGTGCGGACAATCGCGGGAGAGGTGCGCACTAGAGATGCGTGTGCTCGGATGCGGTCGATCGGTACGATGGGAGGCCCGGACGATCGGGCGCGGACGATCGCGGGAGAGGCACGGACGATCGGACGCGGACAATCGGAGAGGCACGATCGGACGATTGGACGAGGAGCGGCGCTTGGATGCGGACGATCGGAGCAGGCGCAAACTAGAGCAACGCTCGGACAAGGACGATCGAGGGAGAGAAGGGCCGTGATTAAGCCGAGCGGGAGAGGCTTCCCTTTGATGGCTCTGATACCATGTGAATTTTGAATAATCCTTTTTCTCACCTGAATACATAGATAATTCACCTATAAATAGGCGAGTACAAGAGATAAAAAGAGGAAAGAAATCTTCCTACAATTAAGTAATTTCCTATAATTATGGAATAAACATAAATACGTATAATTAAGGAATTACCCTTTTTATACTATGACTAAATATAACAAGTATTAAATAGAATTAAAGTAAATAATAATAAGGAGCGTGATTCCACACAAGCATGACAACTCTCCGGATCTCTTCACGACAAATTTAAGTGAAAGTAGATTAAAGTAAATAATAATAAGGAGCGTAATTCCACACAAAGCATGGCAACTCTCCGGATCTCTTCACGACAAACTTAAGTGAAAGTAGCGAAAGTAGAGCGAGTAGAAGTAAGGAGTTCTTGGCCAAGGATATGGACCTAGACTTTGTCAAGGTTTTTGTTGAGGCCTGTCGGAAATTGGAATATGCGGTTCTTTTCTACTATTTTCTAAAAGAGTTATAGGTCGGCCGAAAATTACCAAATGTAGTCATAATATATGCACATTCTATTCATAATGCAATTAGATCATTGTAGTACTAAGTCACGGTTCTGAATCCTTGTTTTTCCTCACATATTTAGACTCCTCATAGAGTTAGCTGGAATTCTTCCTCACGAATTTTATTACTCTTGATAGAGTTAGCTAGAATTTCCTACTTCCGAGTAGGTATCACGAACTATCGTCCAGAGGACACTAACAGAAGGAAGGGACAAATATGATTAGTCAGTTGAAGTCTTCATGGAGTTGATCAGCCATGACATGACCATGCAATTCTTCAATTCTCAGACTCCATACGCTAGGTCATTATTTGGAGGTTCACGAATCATACCAATGAGATGACCGAATTTTCTACGCTCTTTGATGAACAAAGGTACAGATTAGGACCATTGGAGAAAGTTCCGGTCATTTAGTTTATGGGTTGTGATCAAGAAGTTCATGTTGTTTTCTTGACCTCTGATATGCAGAGGAACGAAGGTTGGAATTGATCCTCCGGTGGAATCAAGAATAACTTCTAATGACGGCTAAGTGTTGGAGGAGTTCATCGTCATTATGATTGAGCCAAACGAGATGTTAGGTTTTTGAGACATAGTAATGTTCTGACCGCTAGAGGATTTTCAAAGGTTCTTTTCTATGATACCACAAATTGGAATCAAGAAGCAAGGCAGAAGGCAGGGGTTCTTGCACTGGAAGCAGTCAGGATCTTTGACTTCAGGAGGAGAAGGGATCTGGACGCATTGGGAGCAGACAGGATCTGGTTGCATTGGAAGCAGACGGGATCTACGACGCTAGAAGCAGATAAGATCTGGACGCGCTGGAAGCAGACGAAATATGCAGCGCTAGAAGCATATGAGATATGGTTGTGTCGAAAGCAAAAAAGGATCTGGACGAGCTGGAAGCAGACGGGAACTGCGGCGCTGGAAGCAGACTGGATCTGGACTCCTGAGCCGGCGGCAAGTAGAGCCCAACAGCTAGGTTAAGGCCATGACACTGATATCATGTTAGAATATAATCAGAATGATCTTATTGATGCAAAGAGAGGGGTATAAATACCCATTACAAGAGCTACCAGTGAAGTAAGAAATAAAAATAGAATATAGTAGAAAAGGAAATGTAATATAAAGAATCCAAGCTAATAACTCAGAATAAATAAAAATTAATAATGGCTAAAAGTAGCCATTAATAAATATTTTAATAAGTATGAAAATTTTCCTACGTTTAACTGTTTTTTATAATATATGATGCAAATGTCTTATCTTACATCCTGACTTAAGTTTAGCTTTTAATATTCTCATCTAAATATTTGTTTGCATTGAAACTGGTGCCGTTTTATTAGAATTAAATTAAAAATATGACTACATAAGGGCACCATGGAGAAAGGATTCAGGTAGCCGACCCCACAAAATGGGATGAAGGCCTGTTGTTGTTGTCGTCGAAATTGGTGCCCTTAACGTTGTTTTGAATTTTGTTGGTTACATTTGTGTTTAAGCTCCATCTTTACCTTAATTGAGTTATATGCTACTTTTCTGTGTAATTTCGCACGCAACTGCAAAATTCAGCTACTATTATATGGTGTGTTTGATAATTGACACATGTAATTGATGTTTACCAGCACAAACCAGAGTTCCGTATGGAGGATGATAGTTTCTACCTTAAATGTGAACGGTACAGAGCAAGCTTTGAAAATTGAGTCTCTCTGAAAGCATGAAACACATGTTATTCAACACGTGGCATGCTTTCTAGCATTATTTGATGCATAAGGATAACAATAACAGTACATTAAGCAGTTCATCTTCTTCATGGAGCATTTCTCTGTGCAGGCGAAGCGGGTGGATTACCTGGGATAATAGGAGGGAATGGCAATGGAGGGAAAATAGATGCTGATGGTGGTGGCGGCGGGGGAGCCAAGGTAGGAAGTGACGGAACATTTGGAAGTGGAGGAATGTTAGGAAGCGGCGGAATGTTGATAAATGGTGGCGGTGATGGCTGAAAGGGAAGCGGTGGTAATATTGATGGTGGTGGCTGAAGTGGATTGAGTGGCAAAGGGATTCCGCCGATGTTTGGTGGCGAAGGCAGGAATGGAATTGGTGGCATAAAAGAGACTGCAGATTGCATCAACTTCTGATCAAAAAGTGAGGATTTTGCAGAATACGAAGGTTTTCTCTTCTGTTTGCAAACATCTGGCTGCTTCATTGGTCTGAAAGTTAAAAAACCAGCTGAAAAAACCGGAACAGAATTCCTTATTGATTTGAGCTGGGGAACTGCAGAAGTTAGAGGGGAAGCCACAGAGCAGAACGGCTCACTGCTTCTCACCAATTTCACTGAACATGATTTTATCTCTTTGCCAGTTCTGCTTGCTACTTCCACGGGAATGCGTATTTTGAATGCTCCTTGATTGTTTGTCTTCACCTCTTCCTGAAAGCTGAGTTTGTCTTTTCCAATTCTGTTGCATGTTATCGCAACCGAAGCACCTGCGAGAGGAGTGAATTCAGAGGTTTTGAGCTCTGCTGTCAGAAATGAACATAGTGAATTTATTCGAACCTGGAATAAAGTGGCTGAATGTGGAGAACTCCTGCTGAGAGCATGTGTCGCAATAGACAGAACCCACCACCTTTACAAATGGAATGCGCTGCTTTTGCTCGGCACCAGCAGTGGATTGCAGAGTGAAGCAGATGATGAAAGTAACTAATAAGAGCAAGTTTCTGAGAGCTGTGCCCATATTCTGGAGCCTGAAAGAGCGCAGTGTAGTGAGATTAATGGCTACTTCTAGGGAGCTAAAGAGAAGAAGAAATGGCTTTTGCTGTTACTCTGTTATGGGTTGTAAGTTTTTTATAATCTCAACTTTTGGCTTCTTATATGGTTCACGGGTGGGAGGATTGAGAGCTGAAGTTGAGGCTGGGGTGGAAGAAGCTATGGATGACTTTGCAGATAATATTTTGTTTTGTTTCTTTGCTTGCATTAATATAAATTTTCATGTCGGCAACATTGTCCCACCATATTGTCTTGTTTACATTATTTGGCGATTAATCATGTTTATTATATTTTTTATGGCTGTTAGAAATAGGATCTTTTTTTGTGATAAATCACATTTTCTTAAGTATTTTTCAAGTCACAAATGTTGTGAAAACCATAAATCATAACTATGTCAGGCCAATCGACCCTAATTAAATCTCTCTAAATCATTAGTAACTGTGTATACTTCAACCTCTCCAAGTTCTCCAAGTAGCATCTAATGTTGAGTTGTTCCATTTGCTCAATGTTGTGTTCCAACAAAAGTTGTGAGGATTTGTTTGGGGTGTCTGCAGTTTTTGGTAAATGTTGTTGTAAGGTTTTGATGAACAAAATAATTTCATGAAAAACTGTGGTGAGAACTATAAATATAAATATAAAATTATATATATTTGTCTCAAAACAATCAAAAAATACTAAGCACTAGCTTATGATAATTTGTTGATGGAGAAGGCTTACCTATTTGAAACAACACATGCATTGAGAACACAAGGAGCAAGGCAGGTCCTAAGCAGGCCAAACTTGAGATCAAATCAGATGACATGCAGCAATTTTAAGTGACAATTTGCAAAGGTTGAAATTACATGTTTTCTTCAACTATGGCTGTATCAATGTGAGATCCAATCTAACACATGAATAAGAAATATGTCGATTAATAATATATAAAGATTAAATGTTTGAAAAATACGTTTTTTCTTTAATTTTAAAATGATTAAAATCATTATCTGAATCCCAACTTCACTTATTGAAAAGCTCCATAATTTCATCCGTTTTAACTAACAACCTTTTTTTTTTTCACAATTAAAAATGTCAATTTCCTTTGGTGATAAAATTCTTAATTAATATTTTAATACATCACATATTCAGCAAACTTTCATATTTACAAGCATAGCACTCAATATATTAAAATTAATTTAGGAATATCCCTATTATTAACATTTTAAAAGTAAAACATACATTTTCATTCATAGGTTCATTTCAGTGTTATGAATATAAATATTAAATTGTTGTGGGGTAGAAGAACATATTTTTTTTATATATTATTAATTAAAAAAACTCTCCCCTCATAACAAAGTCGTTGTAGTATAGTGGTGAGTAGTCCCGCCTGTCACGCGGGTGACCCGGGTTCGATCCCCGGCAACGGCGCAGCTTTTTTATTTGCGTTTTTTATATCTTTTTAGTTTCTTATTATACGCGGATAGCCGTTGCCACCACACACACACACACATATATA